TACATACACATGTGCAGTGAAGGTGAAGTTCATCCCCAGATCAGCTACAGTTTAACGTAAGTTCAGGCTTCTTATAATTTTATTTTCCATTTAAGAATTAAAAGTCCACTTTTATAAGAGTATTTCCCAAAGAGATTTCTGATATAGTTCTTGATCTTTCCCTGGTATGACAACCTTTTAACCTTTCCTCTCTTCTGACTCCTTTAGAACTTAACCCAGGAGATGGATGTCCAAGCTGAAAAACTCAAATGGCTGAATAGGACTGAATTGGAAATGCTTTCAGATAAAAGTCTGAGTTTACATGAAAGAGAAAAAATTTCAGAAAGCTTAAGGACTGTAAATTCGACATGGAATAAGGTGTGCATTAAGCATGACTATGGTACATTTCCCACGTTTACTGATTTTGTTATCAAATAAGTAGGATCATGTAACTGTTTTACATTTAAGTATAGCCAGATATGGGCACATTTTGCTAATTCATAATTCTATTTTTTCATCTGTCATGGACGGAAGCATATGTTCTCAGAGGATACTTTTTATTTTATGTGGAAGTTTTTGGCCTAGGAAGTTTATACATTATATACTACACTAAATAATAAGTATATAGTAGAATTAGGCAATAAAATGTTCATAATTATATTCTGAAAATGAAGGCATTAAAATAACTTTGTTATGTTGCACAAGACTTTACACATATGTAGATTTATTTTTAATGATTTTATTCATTCAAAATGTATTTACTAGGTTCTAGGTGGCAGGTACTGACATGTGGCTACAATTATGACTAAAATAAGGTCCTTTTTCTCATAGCATTACATTTTTTTTTTTTTTTGCAGCTGAAACAGTTAGAGGTAGGTAGTCATAGACTTCTATTTATTGTGGCTTAGGTACATACTGTAACAGAGCACGAGGTCTGTCTGGGACACTGAATGGATAGGTGTCTGCCCTGGTTTGGACAGACCCCATCTCTGTCATTTTCTTCCCTCTCCACCCTTTTAAAATGATAGCGGTTATTCTGTATCTAATGATGCAGGTGCTTTATTGATCGAGCCTCTCTGCTTGAGAATCACGGCCTTGATGAGTCACTGTCACTGATGACTCACATGCCCATATCCCTGGCCTGGACCTCTCTCCATGCTCTAGACCTTCATCAGCTGCCTGCTCGGCATCTTCACTTAGATGTCTAATGGGCGTCTCAGCTCACATACAAAACCAGGGTCCTGATCTCCACCTCCCTCCTGCACCTTAGTATACCTCTCCCACCTCGGCTACTGGTAATTCCATCCTTATTATCGTTTATGCCAAAACCCTGGAGTCAATCTTATGGCATGTGAATTACATCTCAATTAAAAACAAACAAATATACCTTAGAGTCACCATCATCAGCTTCTCCTTTAAAATACCCGTCTCTCTCATGGTTCGAATGGACGGCTGGGTGACTAGATAAAAGCCAGCATAGCAGCATTTTAGCAGTTGTAGCTATTGAGGGGCACGTGAGTGCTCCCTGTACAATTCTTTCAGCTTTTTGTAGGTTTGCAAAATTTTGTAAATTTGACTGCTTCTCACTATCCCCATGGCCACTAAATTGTTTCAAGCCACTGTCATCTCTTGTCATGATTCCTACAGCAGCCTCTTCACTAGTCTCCTTGTGTCCTCCTTTGCCCTTTGTCAACCTCTTCTCAACAAAGCAGCCAAAGGATTTGTTAAAACATAATTCGGATCAAGTAACTCCTGTGAGCAAAGCCCAGTAATGGTTTTCCATCTCATTCGGAGTAAAGACCAAAGTCCTTAAGGAGACTTACAAGGTCCGTCACATTTCCTGTTACCTCTGTGACTCCACCTGCTTCTCTCTCCCTGTGCACCTTTCAGACATGTTGGCCCCATGTCGAACACGCCAGGCTCAGGTTGTGCATATTCAATCAGGGCAGATGTATTTATTAACACAAAGGCTGTCATCGGATATTGTGTAGAATAGGGCATGGTGGTCCCTTTGGGAGCACGATGTTAGACGGAGCCAAAGCTCCCTTTATCGCAAGACTTCACATTGATTTTACACTAGTTATGTGAATTATGAATGTCCCAGACCAAGCAATGCTTATTGTGTAGCTAATTTCAACAAACACATTTTAAGAACTAGCAATCTGGGATATTTTATTCATTCATGCAATTATTCACTCACTTAGGTTTTTACTGACTCTCATTTTATGTCAGGCACCATTTTAAGAACTAGCAATACAGCAGTGAGTATGACACCCACTTTTAACCAAGAGAGCTTATTGTGGGTGAGATAATAGATAAGCAATTAAAACATACAGGTATTCATGGGGACGAAAAGGCAGTGTACCTGCCTGGCTTTGAGTGATAACCATGGAAGATTTTGTGGAGATGAAGCTAATTTATAAAAGATGAATAGGTATTGGTCAGATGGAGAATGGAGGAAAAGGTATTACAGGGTAAAGAAGCAGTAAATGGAAGGGTCTAGAGGAGACAGAAAGTGAATTTGCTTCCTGTAAGTTGCTTAACATGAAATGGAAGGATGAGAGATGCTTGCAGAGACCAGACCCTAGGAGCCTCACCATGTATCACAAGGAATTTGAGCCTCTCTGACAGTTCACCACCTTGAAAGCAGTGGGCAGCTATTGGTGGGTTTTAAACAGGAGGAAGTTACATTTTGAAAGATCACTGTAGCTATACCACAGAGATAGATGGAGCCTTCCTAAGGATGGATACCCTTAGGTCAGAAGGACATTGAGGACCTCCTCTGACTGAAGCCCATTATCCAGATCAGGATAACTGATCTGGAAAAATCAGTTAGGGTCATTAGACAACTTTGTGAAGGTGGTGTCCAGTAAATAGACGATGAATCCAGATTTGGATATATCTGAATATACGGTTGACCTGCAGAGCTGGACTGAAGATATGTTTTGGGGAGTCTTCAGCCTCTTACAACTCCATGTGATAGATGAAGCCATTAGAAACCAGGACCCAGGGATAGAGAGGCCAGGGTCAAGGGTAAGAAGACTGAAAACCCTACCCTGTAGAATGTTGGTATTTGTTGGATGGACAGAGGAAAATGCGCTGGTGAAGGACACTTAGAAGATCAGTCAGAGAGGTAGGAGTAAAATCAAGACTGTAGAACAGTACCAGAATTCACGAGAGAAGGAGTGACGGTATTAAATGTTGCAAAGGACCAGGGCAGCTAAGGACTGGACGATATTCTTGATGGTGAGTCAGGGTAGCTGGGGATCAAGCAAGACTGCAGTGGATAGTGAAGCGGACGCAGAAGCTTAGGCAGTGAGGGTGAAGAAAAGCAGCAACAGAGCTATCATTTAGAGGACAATCCTTTTGTGAAAATACGGTCACCTTTATTTATATACTGTTCTCTTTCTGTTTGTTGGGACACTGTAGGTATGCAGGGAAGTGCCCAGTGCACTGAAGGAACGCATCCAGGAACCCTGTTCTGTTACTCAGACAAGAATTGCTGGTAAGATAGTTTTTTTTTCCTTAACAATTTTTTTTGGAAACATAGCAAAATTTTATGATTTTGATCATCATCCATGGATTAGGAAAATTTATTTAAAAACACAGTGCCATTGTGATTTATTATTCTACTTTCAGTTATTTGAAAAGAACATCTTTAAACACAAGACATATTTCACTGCCCCGTACGTGCAAGACATTTCCTTTCATGTGAGATAATACTTTTAGCTTTTCGTGGGACCTGAGCCTTAACAGAGCTTGCTGAAGGCAAAGGGAGAGGCAAAGTGGGGACACTGGGGAATAGTTTTCTGGAAACGTGCAGCTTTTCAGCAAATCAGCTGTAGCTCACTGTGTTAACATGTTCTAGAGGTGTGTAGTTAGATGCTGATGATGGCTGAAAGCAAAAAGTTTGGATGTTCTTGGGATCAGGTGGCAGATGGGGATTTAGAAGAGTTCTCCATCCCAGGAAAGCTGTTTACTGACAAATGCTGATCACTTCAGTTAGAGAAAGAAACGTTTCCTCACTATGTATTTCCTCTCCTTGTTGAGGTTAGGGTGCTAATCACTGCTCTGCAGGCTCTTTGAGCCAACTTGCCCTGGTCTCCCGCTGTTAAGTCATCAGGCAAAACCCCAAATGTGATTAATTGTCTGCTTCCTCTGTGCCCTCTGCTGCTGCTGCCTCTTCGCTCCTCCCCCTTCCCCTCCTCTCCCTTCTGCCCCCTCCCCTCTCCCTCCTCCTGTTCCCCTTTAAGAGCCAGAAAATGGTGAGTGACAAGACCTTTTTTTTTTTTTTTTTGAGATTGTAAGCTTGTTGAGGGCCAAGCTTGTGTTGGATTTTACTTGCATTTCCCATTACCTTGTATAAGAAATACCTGGGTGGTTTTGTTGATTAATGTCCAAAACACTTGGATTAACATTTGGGTACTACTGTCTTGCCACCTCAATCTCAACTCCCTAACCATAGGAAAAAGACTGGATCCGTTTTGTAAGAGAACATTATGTTATCTGTCCTTTTTTAAACATCATTATGGCAAAGGAGCAGGGAAAATTTGAATGCATATTGAAAAGGACAAAAAGCTGACAGCAAAACTCTACTTTCCAGGAGGTAGCCAGTTCATTCTTAACAAGATGGTCATCCCTGAAACAAGTCTGAGACCTGAAGCTAATTCCAGTGTGTCCCTCTCTTCTTACATGGTGTTTTACTTAGGTTTTTTTGATTTAAAAAATCATATTTAAAACGCAACAATTTTGAAGTGAACAATCCGGGGGCAGTTAGTACATTCATAGTATTGTCAATCATCACCTCTAGTTTCAAAATATTTCTATCACTCCAGAGTGAAAACTCTTTACTTCCACAACAGTTTGTCCCCATTCCCTTCTACCCTCTGCCCCTGGCAACCACCAGTTTGCCTTCTGTCTCTGTGGATTTCTCTCTTCTGGGTATTTCCTGTAAATGGGATCATACAGTGCTTCTTGCAGTTTGGTGTTGTTTTTGAGGTTTCTCCATGCCAGCTCCTTGCTGTTCATACTCAAAAGGGCACTCAGCGCTGAAGACAATCCAACTGCACTTTCTTCTTAGTACCCCTTGTTCCCCCGTCTCTCAACTAATGACCTCATCTCATTTTTTAAAGATAAATACTGTTTGTTCCATAAGATCTTTTTCCCATCGCAGAGTCCCTCAGCCTACATGCAGCTGCACCCACACTCTACATGCTTTCTTCCTATCAGTGGAAGTGTCCTCTCTCTTGCTTTCTAAGACCATCTCGTCCAGTTGCACTTTGGATCCTATCTTCTCTTGGTTTTTAACTTAACCTTCTTCTCCCCTCCCTGCTGGATCCTTCTCGTTAGCATGCATTTTGATGCACAGGGCTCTGGTATATTTGTTTATACTATTTCATTGCGTGGTTGTACTGTAGTCCTCAGAACATTATTCTCTAGCTGTGCTCACAAGTCTCGTAACTTTGGACACTTTTTAACTTGAGATAATTCAGTGAGTTCTTAGGCAATTACACTTGGAGTCATCCGTGAATCTTCTCTGGACTTCATATCCAATTCATCAGCAAATTGTGTCAGTTCCCTGACGCATCTCAATTATTTCTCCAGTCTTGAACACTCTTAATTTTCATCTCAGTTGTTGGAATATTCTCCTAATTCAATGTCCTCATTCTGTTCTTGCCTTATCAGTCCTCTATAATCTATTCTTCTGATAGCAGCTGAGTGATGCTTTAGAAACAGCTTTGATGTGTCACTCCTTTGATGGCAGTCTTTTCATCACTTCCATCAGATGAAGGTGATTTCTGCAGTCTTACCATGGTCCAGAAGACCAGGTATGATCTACCTTCTGCCTGTCCCTGGAATCCCATTTCTGTAAACATTGATGATCTCTTAATTGCTTTCCTTTTTTTGTGATTTATTTTAGAGCTCCTTTGGCATTCTGAGGTCATAAAGATATTCTTCTACATTTCACGGTTTTAGTTTTCATATGCAGGTCCTTAATCCACTGAGAATTAATTTCCCTAAGGCACATGTGAGGTCAAAATCTGTCCTATCCTCTCCCCCCTGCAGCCATGGGTCACTGCTTTTCCCAGCATCATTTATTGACCAGTAAATTTCTCTTCATTGATCTATACTGTAGTCTCTGCAAGGTCAGGTTTCTCTGCCACCACTGTGGCTTCTAGTGGTCTGTTTGAATGTCTGGGTCTATAACACACCAAGTTAATCATTCATTATTAGCTGAGTAATACAACTAAGTATCTTGTAGGGCATAACCCTCTGTCAAAAATAAAAAATTTTGATTATTCTTGGCCCTCTTCTTTTCTATATTAATTTTAAAATCAGAAATTTGAATATATAATTTTGTCAAGTTACACACAAACCTGTTGGGATTTTTATTAAAATTGCGCTGAATTTGCAGATTGTATTTTTTAGAAAATTATTTAAGCCTCATTTAATATGCTATATGCTAAAGTGAGTTCCAAATGGTTCTAATAACTCAACTACCCCTTGTATAAAAACCAAAGAAAATAACCAGTCTCATTATTAAAAACAAGATAAAAACATACAAACCAAAAAAATAAGAAAATATTTATCAAATCTTCAGAGAAGATAAGAGTAAATTCTGGGAAAACAGTTCCCCAAGACAGATTTATGGGTTTAATCACCCCAATTTAGTTAACATCTGTATGTTAAGAAAAAAAAATTTAAATCTTAAAATAGAAACAGTGTTTTCAGCAATATGATAAGGGTTTTTCTTTCATATATAAAGAGTTCTCCAAATTGATAAGGTAGTAGATAAAGAACACAGTTATAAATTATACCATATTTGGTTAAAAAACATGAAGAATTTTATCCTCACTGTCAACCAGAAAGACATTAAATGAAGCAATGGTGAAAGATGTGTGTTTATCCACTGAGATAGAATTTTGTTTATGTGGACACAGGATGTTAATCAGTTCCACACACTCTGCTGGAAGTTTAAATTTCCAATTTTTAAGAAAATAATTTGGCAATAAGTGTTAGATACATTAAATTTTTTGTATTTTCTGACCAATAATTCTACTTTGAGAACTTTCTACTAAGGTAGCAATCAGAAATGTAAAAAATACCCTACACAAAAAGATGCTCCTTGCAAGTTCTTTTTTTCTTTTTGTTGTTGTTGTTTTTTTGTTTTTCAAGTTCTTTTTTTTTTAATTCAACAAATATTTATTGAGCACCTTCTTTGTGCCAGATAATATTTCTAGGTGTCAGGGCCTCAGCAGTAAATACACATAAGTGAAATACATGGTATAATAGAAGCAAAATAGAGAAGTGTAAGAAAGACTGGCCACGGAGGTTGGCAGTGGAGCACACGAGGAAATCAGATGTGCTGAGGGAATACTGAAATTTTAAAAAGAATTTTAAGAGTCCTTCCAAGATGACAAGTAAGCAAAGAATGGGTGAAATCACCTTTGTTGAATTCCCTTAATATTTTTCTCTATGATCTCTGACTTTCAATGTTGTAATAGAAATTTTAAAATATCCTTGATAGATGTCTAAGGCTGCCCATGTGTTAAGTTCTATCTGTTGATAATAGCTTATCTGTGAACTGGCAGCTTAGCTGAGAACTAGGTATAAATTTTTTTTAAGCTATTCAAGTAGTGAATTCTAGGCTGTTTTTATTTTGAAAATGGAAAGTTACAAATAATTACTAACCACGCAATAGTTAGTGTTAATTAAATTTGTTGATGGAGGAGTCTTGATTTATTAAACTTTTTTCTAAACTTGGAAGGTTATATCTAAACATTTACATATGACTAACCAACTCCTACATATGGACACAAGAAAAGCATAGTAATCGCATATACAGTTTAGGTCAGAATTCTACAGTTTAGAGAAGGAAAGGGGAACCTAAATTATCGGAAGTGACTTTGATGGGTTACAAGAAAATCTCTTAATTCTCATGTCTTTCAGAGCCATGAATGGAAGTTAGGTTTAATGTGTTTGTGAGTTTCTTTTGATTGGCAGTGGCTCCATGAAATGTTGTGTTGAGACAACTGTTTCTAAAGTTGCATCTTAAATCACTGAGAAAAATGTTTGCAGTGCAAGGAAGGAGGGCAGAGGGGAAGCCCTTGTGCTCTGTCCTCATCAGCTTTGACCTACATTAGCAGAGTAGCTTACAGGCCACATCAAATCCACACCCAGCATGAGTCAGGGTTTTGTAAAATCAAAACCAAGGGCTTGAGTTTTCTGTGCTTGTAAAATGTGTGTTGAGAATCAGTGAGTGGAAATGGACTGAATCAACAGTCTGAAAGGCTCAGTCATAGAGAAGGCAGAATGAAGCCTGTGTCTCTGAAGTGGGTGTCATGTCTGAGCTGAAAATGTGGCAGATGTATAGCCGAGGATGACATTCATGTATTAGAACCTGTGACGATCAAGAATAGTAGCTAAAAATAGGGGTATTCAAGAAATAATCATTCTGTGAACCAGCTGGACTTCTGCCAGCAGGTGTTTCTCAGTCGCAGTGCCACTTTCTTGGGGTTCTTGCTTTCTTTGCTGTCTGTGAGAGGCTGTGCTCAACATCTGGCACTAACAAAATTATTAGAATCGTGAAACTACTTTTTTAGCTTATTATGACTTACTTTGATTTGCATACCCTATTGGTTTGCTTCCTCAGACCTAGAGTTCTTTTTCCAGCTTTATTGAGAAATAATTGGCACATCTCACTGTGTGAGTTTGAGGTGTACAGCACGATAGTTTGATTTAAGTGTATTGTGAAATGATTACCACAGTTTTTGTCTAACATCCATCTTCTCATACAGATACAACAAGAAAAAGAAAAAAAAGAAGGAAAAATTTCTCTCTGTGATGAGAACTCATAGGATTTCCTCTTTTAACAACTTTCCTGCATATCACACAGCAGTGTTAACTACAGTCATCATGTTGCACGTTGCATGCCTAGTACTTGTTTATCCTGAACTGGAAGTTGTACCTTTGACCACCTTTCTCCGACTCCCCCTCCCCCACTTTTTGCCTCTGGTAACCACAGGTCTGATTGATCTCTTTTTCTGTCACTTTCCCCCCCTTTTTTTAGATTCCACATATAAGTGAGATCATGCAATATTTGTCTTTCTCTGTCTGACTTATTTGACTGTGTGTTTAATTGGCTTTCCGACTACCAAAGACATACAGATACTTCAGAAAATACCATTGCCCTTTCAGTATTAAAAAATAAATAACTCTTTCAATTTTTTTTACTTAAACTGAATTTTACATGAATACACATACACACATCACCATTATATCAGTCAAGTTATCTCGCTGTTTTACTAATGCTTTGCTACATTTTTGCATTTCAGCTCATCCCAGTGTCCAAAAGGTGGTGCTGTCATCATCTGCATCAGCTATTCCTCCTGCTCCGTCTCCTCGAACCTCGGAAATTTCAGTTCCTGCTGATCTGGATAAGACGATAACAGAACTAGCCGACTGGCTGCTATTGATTGACCAGATGCTGAAGTCCAACATTGTCACTGTCGGGGATGTAGAGGAGATCAATAGGACAATTTCCCGAATGAAAGTAGGTGCCTAGTGGAAGGGCCTGTCACGGAAACACCGCAGCACAGAGGTTGCTGGGATGTTTGGATCACTTTTGTGTATCTTAAACTCTGGGAGAATGAGCTTTAAAAAATTCTTGGTCCGTCAGACAGCCACCGAGGGCTAGCTCTGAGGAGTAAAGCTTTTCTTGCCTTTGTGTTGTTTTGGTGAGATCAGGTTTACCAACGTGAGCTGTAGACTCAGTGTATTTTAAAGATCTAAAACTGATATCACGAATCTAGCCACATCTGTATAAATGTAAACCAGTGTTACGTTTAATGCCTGATGTCGTGTAGGGAAATTTCCTGAAGCACCTTTACAGCTGATATTTCATAATGAGATCTTTTGTTTAATGGCTGACATGAGAAGTGAGAATCTCCTGCTTATAATTTTATTATTATACATGTACCATCTGATATCAATCTGTACAGTTCTTTTTCCATCTTCAGTGTGTGCTTGGTCCTGGGATGTGTGTTGTATCAGGGATACTGAAAAGAACATGCCAGACAGAAATTGGGAACGAACCATCAAATAGTAATAACAGCTATTGCTGACTCTTCTTAAGTGCTTAATGTGCGCTGGATGTTTTTCTAAGTATTCTACATGTTTTATCTCATTCACTTTTTGAACAATCTTATGAGGTAGGTACTAATTTTATCCCCATGTTGAAAATATGGCCGTGCCGAAATGGAGGCATTGAATGCGTCTGAGTAGGCAAGTCGCTGTGTCCAGGCACAATCTGATAAAAGCTTCAGGGCAGTACAAGCGCCCACTCGGGGGCCAGGATGAGGAAGGGGATGACCTCCACAGTGAAGGGAAGCAGGCTGTGTGGGGTTTTGACATTTAGGGACAGAGTAAATGATACTTCTGGTGTAGGGACAGGGTGAATACAGCCATGAGGAACGTCGGGTCAAGGACTGTGCAGTGAAAGTGTAGTGGGAAGTGAGGCAGCAAAGACGGCTCAAGTTCGCTTTGTGAAGATGCTCGTAGACCACGCAAAGCCCTTCGGGCTTTTAGTCTGTAAGCAGTTGGCAAACATCTTTCTTCCCTTTTTCTTTTTAAAATTGTGACTAGAGGCTGGTGATAACAATGCTCTGCTTTAGTAAGAAGACTGGGAATAGTGCAAGAGATGCTTAAGACAAAGAGGAAAGCCCTTTCTGAGCAGCAAAGGTGATGCTGTTGCAGTTAGCAGAAATCAGGACTAGAAGCAATGGAATGAGGAGGAGGGTTTGACTGATTCGGTTTCAGATACGCTATGTCAAGAGGTCCTTATGCCACTTAGGAAGAAATGATCAGCATTTGTTGAAATGCCTCTCTGGGTTTCAGGATTAGAAGTTGCAAATAAGCCATTTAGAAATAATGATTTGATACTATAGGAATCACTAAAATCTGCAAAATTAGTGAATTCACACAGAGGATGCTCTGGGAGAGATTCTTTGCCACACTATTTGTACTTACCGGAAATTGTGTTTTCTAATCTTTATGGCTATTTATTAGTTATGTACTTAAAACACACCATTTTGCTGCTGTTGCTAGCTTTTCTCCCATTTTTACCCTTACTAAGAGGCACAGAGTTGCTAGAGCAGCAGTTTTTCATGTCTGAGATGATCTAATTTGCAGTTATTCCAATGAGCATCTTTCTGACACTCCACCTCTGATGTAGGGCGGACAATGCAAAGCCTCAGCAGCAGGCATCACTGCAAATGTTCTGAAAGCGCTTCTTAGTTTTCAAAGGGATTTTCTTCATTAAACCTCCTCAGACTTGGTATCACTGAACTGTAAGCATTTTATTTTTTCTTTTTTGTGAAAGCAAAAACAGAGGGGTAAAGCGCCTTGCATGGCAATCCAGGTGGTAAGAGGGAGAGCTGAGATTTGAACGTAGGATCTCTGACTCCAGATTCTGCACTTTCTCTGCCACATCACTGATGCCTCACTGCCCCTGACGGGAGAACAGCAGCTTTGAGGTCAGCACACGTTTTGCTCTGATAGGATCCTCATCATGTGGCTTATTAACCTATCTTAATAACATTTTGTCTTAACAGATCACAAAGGCTGACTTAGAGCAGCGCCATCCTCAGCTTGATTATGTTTTCACATTGGCACAGAATTTGAAAAATAAAACTTCCAGTTCAGACGTGAGAACAGCAATCACAGAAAAATGTAAGTTTTTTAAAAAAATTTTATATCATCATCCACTTTCCCTGAAAATGGTCACACACACATGCACACACACACACAAATGTGCACATTTTTGAAGATTTTCAACCAGAAATTATTATTTGATAATTTGATATTTAATACTCTTTATTAATAAAATAGCTTTCCTGTGGTTTTTTTTTTAGATTTTGTGAACATTGTCATAATTTCCTTATGAATTCCTTAAAGGATTAACATCATTACTTTTAAGTAATTATCTATACATTGGATTTTTTTCTTTTAAGTTAGGATTTCTTTTAAAGGAATCAAAACCCCCCTAAAGTTAGAGAAACCCATAGAAATGCAAATCCATTCTTCTGTTATATTCACTAAAACCAAATCTTTCCATGTTTTTTAACCCATCTTCTCAAAATTCATTCCAAAAATGTTTATTGAACAACTACTATGTACCTGTATGCCTGGCACTAATTTGGGAATACTTTAAATATAAAATAAAACAACACAAAAATTAAGTATGTAACAGCAACAGCAAAGCTGTCTGTTTCAAATTTGCTTTCTGGCTTAAAAGCATTTACTAAATCTGTACGACATACAAAACAAAGTCTAAATTCTCAGGGAGGTCACGCAGGGACAGTCGCTGTCTGCTTCCATCATCCCCTCTCTCGCTTCAGCCCTCAGCACTGTCTGTAGCTATTCTGTGCTGTATGCATTCTTTAAAATGTCCTGACATTTCTTAGTCTCCTTACCTTTATTCACATTATTATTATTTTTTTTTTTTTTTGCCTTTTGGCCTTTTCTCCCCAGGTGAGATTCTGCTCTGCAGCTAAAATGCCATCCCCTTTGTGAAGTCTTTCCCACCCTCTTCTAGTCCCTGATGAACTGTATTTTCTGTCTTTGGTGCCTGCTGCGGCCTTTCCCCATCATTTCACTGTAGATCCCACAGTTACTTTAATTCTCTCTCTGCTCCATAGATTGTGAACACTCACCTTTTAGGCCCCGAGGGCTCCCACAGTGCCCAGTACAAATCATGTACTCAGTAGATATTTGTAGCAGAACACAAACTGGAAGGTATATTATTATTTTGTCTAGTATTTCTGAAGGGAAGGAAGTCAGCTCTTCCCCCTGTAAAAAGTGTTTCAATTTCAAAATAAATGTGGCAGCAACAAGTTTAAGAGATGAGTTAGCAGGGAACTTTTAGTGTCTCAGTGTTCCTTCTTTTTCCCTCTTTCTATTAATTGATGGATTGCTTGTGCCTGTTCGGGAACTCTGGAGTGACCCTGTTTGCTGTCACATGGCAAAGGCAGCTTCTCTGCTTTGGTGGCACCAAAATGTTTACAAAACCATCTCCATTTTGCTTTCTCAACCATCTGAAGTTTTTCCACCACCTCTCTGTCCAAAATGTCTTAAAGATTTCCTTCTCCCGAATATCTTCCTTTTCCAGTTTAACTCTCTTTTTGTTTTCTCTCTATTTTTTTGATATAGAGGCTCCCTGGTTTCCACCCTATTCATTATATGGAAAAGCAGTCTCGGCCGGAGGGTGGTACCTGTAGTGGTAACCTGCTTTTAGCACTTATTCTCAGTGAATGGGATAATTTTCTCATTTTTTATAATAAACCTGTGATACTTGGTGTTGCTTCCAATCTTTAGTTTTATTTACTCAGCATTAAAGGATTCTATTAGTTATAGAATTGGTCATAAGTACTTTATGTAACTTTTTAACTGACAAGTAGAATATGATGATAAATTAGTGCTCTCCTTAAGTTATAAACTTAAGCAATTTACTTAAACTGTTAAATAAGACAGCATAAAACAGATAATCTCTCTGAATAATTTTTTTAAAATTATTACACTTAAGTATAATTTACTTAATTTTCTGAACAATCTTAAATTGATAGCTCTTATGGTTTGCTGTAACCCTGTATGATTCAAAAGTTCTCACTATGACTTAGCTGCAATCTTAATTTGTAGTTAAGTTCTTCTTGTCCTGGAATTTAACTGCAGCCCTTCAGTCTTTCTGGCATGGAAAGCATCTTTTAGATGTTTGTTTCTAACCTTCTGTGTACTTATTATCATTGGGTTGTTGAAGATACTTAAAGGTATTGCTTACTCGTACTTCACATCAAGTCATGGACTGCCCCTGAAGTAATTAATCAAAAGTTTACGTTTCCTTAGATCTCTTTTTCCTTAACTCCACGTTAAAAAAATAGAAGAGGAGAGAAAGTAGGGGAAAGAAGCGGAGGAGAGAGAGAGAAAAAAAAAGAGAAAGAAAAAGAAACAATAATAAAAAAGAGAGGGAAGAGCCAGTACAGATTTTTTTTTTATGATAAAGAACTGCTGGATACATAGAACTTGAATCTAATTTACTTTTAGTGTTTCTCTTGAATATATAAAAATACTTCCTTTTGGAGAGGTTCCATGCTGCAGTAAAACAAATGTGAAAAGTATTCTTAAATAGCTTGTTTTCTTTTAAAATAAGACTAGCTTAGAGCATTTCCTTTGAGGATGCTGAGTGACTATATCTATGGTCATAAAGTTCTAACATAAAGTACTGTTAAACTCTACCTTCTTAAACCATGTTCTGTAAATATAAACTAGATAGGAATTTATTTTCTGCATAATTATTGGTGTATCCATTTATAATAGTAGATATTTTTATTGTGAGATATTTTAATGCCTTTAAAATAAAGTTTAATTCAGGATTTTTTCTTCAAGGTTTCAAAAGTAGATCACTTGTATGGTGTGGCAGACATGTATTAAATTCCTTTAAAATGTATCAACTTGCCTCCTTTTTCTTTTCTATATTTAACCTTATTTATGATAAATTTGGTATCCGGTATTTTTCCCTTTCCTGATGGTTACTTTCTGGGGTTATTTTTTATGATACTTCCGACAGTGGAAAAGGTCAAGACCCAGTGGGACAGCACCCAGCATGGTGTGGAGCTGAGGCAGCAGCAGCTGGAGGACATGGTCATTGACAGTCTGCAGTGGGACGACCACCGGGAAGAGACCGAGGAGCTCATGAGGAAGTACGAGGCGCGCCTCTATATTCTGCAGCAAGCCCGCCGGGAGCCCCTGCTCAAACAAATTTCTGATAATCAAGTAAGACTCATGAGATACTTTTTGGCATTATTAATGTGTGGGATGGGCTTTTGTGTTCAATTGTTAACTGTAATTTTTAGGACCTTGTCTTAATGTTTTCCCAAGTGCTTAGAATACACACTGAAACTTATATAAAGAATTTGACCAGGAAGTTTTTTGAAAAATTTCTGAAGGCAGAACAAGTAGGAATGCAGATGTAGCCTAGATTTAGCGCTCACTGACTCTTTGCAAATGGAATTCACTCATGAACCAGCATGTAGAAAGAAAACATTGTCAGGATTCCAGAAACCCTCCTTTTTCTTCCTTCCATGTCTACCCTGGAGGTTATTTTTAATTTATGAAATCTCCTGAGGCTTTCATTTGCAGGCTACTGGAGTGAACAAATCAGGTAGTAAGTGAGTTTAACTTCTTTTAATACCTTTGTAACCAAATCATTTTACCAGCAGCACCATAGCAGGTACCTGTCCTGTGATCAGTTTGATTACCGAGTTGATATTGAACACTTACGGTGGTTTTAAAATGCTGCTTTACATCCCTCTATGGTCACAGAAAATATTCTTGAATTGGCGGTGATGGTTGTTAGGTTATATTTTGGTGTAAAATTTATCTGCCCTTTAGATAACCTAAGATGAAAGTGTACATTTGTGAGGGATATAATGAAGAATATGTGGGAAGCAGAATCCAAAACACGAGAGTATGTTTTTATTCTTCACACGTGTAGACTTTCTGTGGTTACAGTTTAAAAAGCAAGGGGCCGGGTGTCCTGGTTTCCTGGCTCATTCTCTGTATTTATGCTGTCTACTCATTTGTTTTCGCCGAACGTCTCCAGACTAATCGCCAGCAAAGCCCGTGGATGCTCAACTAGAGGAATATAATTAATAGTGATATCAATGTTTCAATCATCATATCCAGAATGTTCTTTTCTAATCAGCATTGTGGTTCTTTTCTTCTGGAACTTTAGGGTGGATTTTTCTGCCAGTTGCTACAAAAATCATTTTAGGAAGATTCATTTGTCATTTAGATTTCATGGGAAATATCATGATGGAGCGGCTCTCAGAGGTGGAAAAAGTGTGTCAAGGAACCAATGCCTATGGGTATACAACATCCATTTAGTTTAGTCAAGCAACTCTCAGTAAACCTTGCTTGGTTACTTCATCCACCCAAGCAATTAACTTTGTAAACATATACAGGGATCTGAGGCAAGAGAACAGAGACTTTCATATGCCCTTTCCATCTCTCCAAGCGCATGTAGACAAACTAACTCTGTAGTAAGTGCGTTCCTGTAAGATGCATGTTCCTCTCAGGGTCAGAAGCATAGCAGGAGGAATGAAAAAGACAAACGATTTGAGGAAGTAAAGTATATCAAAAAGGAACAAATGATAACCTACCTGATCACTTTCTTAGACATTTTCCTTTTCATTTTCCAGAATAATTTTTGTTTAAGCTTACATGCAAGAGTTTAATAATCTGTTTTCTTCTTTTAATATCTGTGTCTAAAATATGTTAAAACCTACTGGAAAGACCAGTATTTTGGTAATACTTGTTGTTGTGTGACCCAGTCTAACAATTACACCTGAAAATTACACCGTAGATGTTGCTTCAAGAAATGGGTCCTGGTGATGGTATCGTAATGGCATTTGAGAATGTCCTGCAGAAACTGCTGGAGGAATATGGTAGTGATGACACAAGGAATGTGAAAGAAACCACTGAGTACTTAAAAACATCATGGATCAATCTAAAACAAAGGTAACGCCAAGGCCCTGGCAGGTGTATGTGTGTTGTCAAGTTAAGAATTTGATTGCTTTGGCTTTCTCGTGGGAACATGCCAAACCTGTGACTCCTAGAAGTACATTTTATTATTATTATTATTTTTTATCACATGTAATACAGAATGTGTATTTATACAGTAGCCGCTTAAATTGCTACGATGGAGTTTTTCCTTGAATAAGTCTGAACCATGCCAGTCATCATTTTATGTGTTCTGATTTTCGTATGCCTCTCGGCATTACCCAGAGTACATCTTGAAGTACTCTGACAGTAATGAACATTTGAGTATTTACAGATGCACCAGGGTAATATTTTCCCTAATGTTAATGAAAATACTGTGCCATTTGGCCATGTCATCCTTGACTGAGGCTGGAAACACATGGATCCACACCAGACTCCTGAAATACACTCTGTGTATGTTGGGCTTCAACTAATTTGTTGTCTTTTCTTCCCATTACTCTGTCTAGTCAGTGTATTCGGAACAGACTAAAATAGCATGTGTGTTTATAAGAGAAATTTTTCTGTCACTTGAACACCTAGAATTTGAGGTACTGTAAACAGTGGTTAGCATCTCTTTAAGATTTATATTCATCATCAGTAAAAAAGTGTTTACTTCCTGCATAGTACTGGGAGTAGCTGTGTCTAAATGAAATTATGGTTTCACACACATCTTTATATATTCAGATGCAACTGCCTGAAAGCTGATTTGGTATAAAAAACACATTTATTTTGCAAGGAATAAAATGGATAACATTAGAACATTTTAGGGTATATACTGGTAATAAGGATGGCCAGGCATTTAATAACAGTTTAATATGGAGGTGTTTTTATACATTTTTAGAATGCCAGTTTTGATTAGAATCTCTAAAATAGATTTTTGGGAAGCTCAAAGAAAAGAATTATGAGGCACTGCAGGAAAATGAATGAGTTGCTTTGTATACCTAAGATTCCGGAGAAAATAAGACGAGGGTAGCAAATACGAAACTTAAAGGCGGTTAAAGCAGAATGTGTTTATACCAGTGAGCTTTCCAGCATTCTAGTACAGCTGCTTTTCTTTTGTTATAACAGGTTGTTTGGATATAGTAGGGATCTCAAAACTAGGACAGCGAAGAGGGGGGAGTAAAAACAGCTTTAAAGTACAAACTTCCAGTTACAAGATAAGTAAGTTCTAGGGGTGTAACATACAGCATGGTGACTATAGTTAACAGTGCTCTGTTGTGTATTTCAAAGTCACTAAATAGGTCTTGAAAGTTCTCATCATAAGAAAAAAACTGTGTAACTGTGCAGTGATGGATGTTAGGTACATTTACTATGCCAATCATCTTGCAACATATATCAAATCATTGTGTTGTACTCCTCAAATTAATACAATGTTGTATGTCAGTTGTATCTCAATTAAGAAACACAGCCTTAACACTAAGAGAGTTTGTCCTTAAGCACACTTTATCTCTGTTTCCAAAAATTCCACATATAAGAATTATGACTTTGTTTTTATTGTGAACAATACCAGAAAAACTGATCACTTAGGGATGTGTGGTCTGCTTTATTTAGCAACTCCACTTCTTTTTTTGCTTTCGCTTTGTAAATATTTTAAGACAGCCTACAGCAGTAGTTAGATTAGATGGAAGAGGCAATTAAAAATGAATTATATTCCAAGGTGATCTTTCATTTATCATAGCTAAGACGACCACAGTGTTCCAATTTAATGGTGGTTACAAGTCATTGTCTTTATTCTATTTTCCTTCTGCATTTTGGGAGGAAATAGTAAACATGTTAAAATTTGACATGATTTAGGTATATTATTATCTATAAAGCAGAGGAAATACAACAAAACTGTGGCTCACAGGATCCCGTCATGAGTGATGGCTGGGAATTCTATGTATTGCCAGAATTTTCTCCTTTAAATATTGACAATTTTTAGCTGTTTAATTGGCGGTCTTTTGAGAATACACAAATCTTTCCATGCCTTCTTAAACAAAGTACGTGAACCTACATGAAACATTTTTTGAATTCTTGGCATTATTGTTATGAAAATAGAATTAAGGACCTGTAAGAGCTATGCATGGCCTTACAGTTGATTTAAACCAGTGTTTCTCAATCTTTTATACATTCTCATCCCCCTACGGAGCCTTTTCGAGGTTCTCACCCCCAGGACATTTAATACCGTGGGTATACTGTGTATCTGTTTCTGTACTTTATAGTTGTGCTTTATACATAAAAAGAGCAAATTGTTTTCCACTCCTCCCACCCCCGCCCCACCAAGGAACCATTTATCTTTTCCACTGAGAACACTTGTCCCCTCTAACGCTGTCAGGCTCAGAGAAGTTAAAGGACACGTTCACAGTTTCATAGCAGAGCCAGGACGACGTTTTTCTACACTAAATGATGACAGTGCTCTCCATGCTGGGTAGCATGGGTAGCAGATTTACTCAGGCTGCTGTACCTTGTGCGATTTTGTGCTTTGTTTCAGTGTTTGAATTTTATTGGGCATCTCCTCGCCATCAGGTTCTGTGCTGAGTTCTTCACTTGCATTATCTCATTTAATCCTCACAATAACCATCAGAGACAGGCGGAATTTTCATACTATGTAGAGGAGTGAACTGAAGCAGGGCGAGATTAAGGAATGCCCGAGATCACATGGCTCATACAGAAAGAGCTCAGGTTGGAATCCAAGCTTTTCTGACTGTGCAGTCAGGCTATTTATTACCTTTCTTTAAAAATAGTTTTATTTTTCTGCTTTGCTATCAGAATATCAGCTATTGCTGATGACTCTGTGTACCCACCTCTGAGAACTCTGTGATAACACTTAATGGTTCTTATCCGTGGTTGGGCTTAGAAACCAGATCTGATGCAAGATGTGGGGCCATCTGCTCTGAATAAATGTAACACTCTCCAGTACGGGGCTGCTGTGCCTGACCTCATGTCCCGTGAGAGGCCTCAGACCATGGCTTTTCTCCCAGCCATATTCTGAATTTACATTGTTGTCAGCCAGATTCTGGAGGTGAGGGGTTAGTATACTTGCACAGGGAACATCGTTATTGCAACATAAAGTGTGAAGTTTAATATCAGCTTTCAAAGGATACGTTTTGTATGCATTGCAATTGGACTAAGTAATTTGGCCATTCACAGTTACAGGTCCACAACCCCTTATCTACAACGCAGAACCCAGTGCGCTCTGATAACAGGAAGCTTTGAATTGACAGGAGGCTATTTATTACAGTCTTCATTTATCCTGCTTAGTGTGAATAGTGTGAATAGCCTTGTTTCTGGCCACAGAAATAGTAACGTGTTGGCCACCTCCGACCGTGGTTGGGGGTAGTAAGTCATACAGATACATTTACAATAATAGCTTTCTAATGTACAGAAAATCCTTAATTCTGAAACGTGGCTGGCTCCCAATATTTTGGATTCTTTAAACAACTGTTCTGTCTCTGACATTTTGAACTAATTGACATATCATGACCACTGCTCTTTTCGCTGGTGAAATTTTTTTCTTACATCTCTTAATACCAATTAACAAATTTTGTAACACCAATTGAGATAGTGATAGTTGAAATGTGCTTATAGTAACTTTTGGAGTGTAGAGATCTCATTTAGGTCTGAAATGTTATTTTAATCCTGGAGTGCATATGTTCATGTATTTGTGTATGTATACACACACACACACACATACACACACTTGCCCACATACATATACACACAGAGTTATTTATACTGAAATATTGTGAAGGAAATGAGACAATATAACTTTATGTTATAAAGAGTATCTTATAGATCATTAGTTATTATGTATTTTTCTCTTTGCCCTTATCCCCTGGAAGCCATCTTTTGTTGCTCATTTTAAGGCATTTCTCAGTTTGTACAGGCAGGACAGAAAGCACACTGGCTATACAGTACCTGGCGATCCTTGATTAATATCCCAACTTATTCACTTAACCACCTGTGTGAACCTTGACCAAGTTATTTCAACTGACTGAGTCTCAATTCCTTGATTGTAAAATAGAGAACATATCTAATAGATAAGATTATTTTGAGGATCAAAAATTATGTCTAAAGATTCCTCCTACATGATATGTGCTCAACGAAGGGTTACCCCAGATTATCATCATCTGCTCCGTCATATTCTGTGTTCTGTAAAAGTTATTGCCCTTCAGTCTGTTTTGCAGCATTGTCTATGGTTAAATTAGCAGAAGGTTGAGTCATCGTCAATCATTTGTAGTCATTTTGAACAGTCTCTACTTACGTTAATGATGAAAGAGTTGATTATCTCATTTGCTGAATGCAGTATAGATATTCTAAATGTTTATTACCAGATGAAACTTTCAGAAAATGCAATTTTCTTGGTCAGTGCCTTAGTCTGTTCGGGCTGCTCTAACAGAACACCGCTCACAGGGTGTCTTATAAACAACAGAAGTGTGCTTCTTGTGGTTCTGGAGATCAGGGTACCAGCATGGTTGAATAAGGACCTTCTTCTGGGTAGCAGACTTCTTGTAGCCCCACATGGCAGAAGGGGTAAGAGAACTCCCACAGGCCTCTTGTACAAAGGCATTAATCTCATTCATAAGGGCTCTGCCCTCATAACCTAACCATCCTCCTGAGGCTGACCAGCCTCCTAATATGGCATGAGGATTTCAACATAGGAATTTGGGGAGGACAGACACATTCAGACCACAGCAGCTAGTAAAATCATCACAGTTGCTGAATTTACTATGCATTTAAGTGTTTTCTGCCTAAGCAGAAGTCTAACCATCCTGGAAGGAAAGGGTGTAGGATTTTTAAAAATTTGTTTCATGTGAGAGCCATAAATACAGATTTATCTAGTGAAGGAATTTTTTTTGAATTCTTTTGAAATGACCCTGTCTTTCTAATTTATGTTCATTAACTTATTAATAATGGCTTGCTGGATATGTGGAATGCATGTAGTTTACAAGAGGTTATATAAATATTGTGTGTACCAAAGACTGAATTTGTGAAGCCCT